TGTATAAAATCTAGCCTCGACTTGAACCACCAAACGCAATGTCTAACTTCATTCGGTCTTTCATGGGTATCACTTTCATTGATTCAGTAATCTCCCGATCCTCTGAGTGGCTCAAATCAATGTGTGTGTGATAACAGAAATGTGAGCAACATCCAATCACTGAACCGAAACGTGATTTTGTTTCGCCATCTGTTAAATTGTGAGGTAAGAGAGAGTCGATGAATCACCGAAAACGAACTCGTTCTCTACATTTTTTCTTGCAATTTCAATTCGGTATCCTAGTTCGAACAGTGTATTCTTTGGATGCCCGAGTTGGTTAATAGTGCCGTTGGCAGAGATAGTTTTGTGTGAGGATTTATATTGGTATAGCTGCAAACGAATGACACGTGATCGGTTTTACCCCAACATTAACGAATCAGAGATTTCGATCATCGTAGTTTTAACTACAAAATGCTCGTCGTACACATTGCAAGTACTTATTGTCTGTCTGAGAACAAAATACAATCCGGTAAATGAACCGGAGCAATAGAAGAGATCATTTACCTCGGTTGTGGTTTGAATAAAATAAAACGAAACTTTATCCTCGGCGGTTCGAACCATAAACGGTTCCCACCGTACAACTGTTTACGTCCTGAAGAAGCAAATAAAACGCGTCGTTGACGCTCGGGACGCACGTGGTGCTCACGAAATTCAGTAGGCTGACGAAATGGTACAGTCACGTTGAAGCGTCTACTACACCTTTTGCCATCAAGCTTTGGCCAAAATCCGCAATCCTTTGGCCAAAACCCGTAATGCTTTGGCCGAAACCTGTAGTCCTATAGTTTGGACGCACAAAATTTTGTCACGCCGCAGTAGGCGAGTCAGATCAACAAGTATCGGAATATTGTGAAGTCAACGGATGCTGCAAAACATTATTTTCTACAAATGTTGATGTTGCAAAGCCTGGTCAATAAATAAGAAGTTGTGGGGGTTGCATGCTGCAACACGTTGATTGGACAAGGTGTAAACGATCTGTCCGTATCGTCAAACCATTTGACAGATCTAGTACAGCATCTGTGATTCCGTATAAATTGCGATACTCCTATGAGTAGAAATCTCAAGTGTAAGTGAAACGGCACATTGTTTTGCATTCAAAAGCCCCGAAATAAATCCTGAGGTATATGCTTACCGTTTAGTACATTCACTTAAAGTGAACTCTGTTTTTGAGATGCGGATACATTAACTGGTCGAGGAAAATAAACACTGTTCACAAAAGACCGCCTTTAGAACACCGGCTGTCATGAAGCTATAGACAAAACCCGTAATAATTAAGCCTCGATCGCGGTAATTATGACATACGTTGCAGCATTATTAAACTGGTGATAGTCATGCGGCTGTACTTTTACGATCGGTTTATTATCCTCAACACGTTTATGTATCTCTTGATGCTCAAAGTTCACTTGTGAATGCAAAACAATGTGCCGTTTCACTTACACTTGAGATTTCTACTCATAGGAGTATCGCAATTTATACGGAATCACAGATGCTGTACTAGATCTGTCAAATGGTTTGACGATACGGACAGATCGTTTACACCTTGTCCAATCAACGTGTTGCAGCATGCAACCCCCACAACTTCTTATTTATTGACCAGGCTTTGCAACATCAACATTTGTAGAAAATAATGTTTTGCAGCATCCGTTGACTTCACAATATTCCGATACTTGTTGATCTGACTCGCCTACTGCGGCGTGACAAAATTTTGTGCGTCCAAGCTATAGGACTACAGGTTTCGGCCAAAGTATTGTGGGTTTTGGCTAAAAGATTACAGGTTGAGGCTAAAGGATTGCGGATTCTGGCTAAATCTTGATGGGAAAAGGTGCAGTTCTACGACTGTTCACGTTAAATATTGGAATGAACTAACTTGCAATTGAGAAAAAACGGTTATTAAAGCTATATATAGATTTAATTATATATCTATGGCTTCGATATATATATATATATATATATACCTCATCCTCACTGGTTTGAACCACTTACAGCTTCCACTGTTAACTGTTTACGCCTTGAAGAAGCGAATAAAATGCATCTCTGGCGCTTGTTAGTTCGGAGTGTCGTTCTCTGGAGTGAACATAAGACAGCTCCATGGATGAGCTCATTAGGAGTTTTTCGGGAACTTAGTTAAATGTGGCATCATCAGTACAGTTTGGCTGTTTTCCTCAAGAATACCATTTAAAGCGCGATCTTCGGGGGAACAAGATGATGGTGCTGGCCCACACATAATGCTCTGCATAAGGACATTTTATGGCGTTCTATTGCAGAACGATCGCTTGCCAGGTGAAAGCCCGCCACAACTTTGGGCATCGCCGCCGATTATCCGTGACCGCTTATGCAGTGACACAACACACACCTAATCACGAGTAAACATCAAAATGGCTGTTCTCTAACAAACAACCTGAGGCGGTGTCCGGTAGTGTGTAGCGGCACTGTCAATCGGTTTTAAGTCGTTCACCGACAGGTCAGAGTGAGAACGGTCACTCTTATTAATGTTCCTGGGATTATGATCACAAATGTACCCACCCAGACACCAGTTCCAAACGGAATGCCCATACCAAGCACCGCATATATCGTGAAAATAAAAAGGGCTTTGCATCGCCCTAACCAATATGTTTGTCTTATAAAGGGTATGTTCTTTGTTTGCTTTTCTGGCTGGTGTTTAAATCGATCAAATCCCTAACTTTGGCTGAAAACAGACACACACAATCTCTCTCAAACCATTTCGTTCCAATATCTATTAAAAACTGTATAGAGAGTACATGAACAGAAAATAATGTCCCGTTGTCACGATGAATTAGACTGACACTTTCAAGTAGCTTGTTCACATTTGACTATTGCGGGAAAATTATCCATCAGTACCAGAGTCGAGTCATTTATCTCGCTTTTACAAATTTCCTCTGCTAATTTCGTTTGTCATTGGTTCTTAAGGTACGCATGGTTGATTTGAGCCATTGGTGATCCCTGCATCTGACACCGACCTGTTTTGTCACTGTGAAGCGATCGAATTAGAATGCGCAACGGATGAGCTACGATCGTTGTGATATACCTCGGAAAACGCCAGCATTGTCAGAAGTAGATCGTTTTGAGCGTGACTGGTCAACATTCCCTCACAACTGGTGAGTTGCTCTTATGCGACCAAATATCTCAGTTAGCCTCTGACGAGGAAGCTGAACTCACTGCCTTCTGGTGGTGGAAGTGTTTTCTCATCAAATAGACATGTCGAAAAGTCGACATTCGCGATCACACATGAACCATTGACAGCTAAGTTGGCTAAAACCATGATTCTATACCAATCACATAAACACCTTGGTTGTGTCAGTCAGTGCGATTGAGTACTGAAGTGTATTGGACACCTTGGACGTTTGATCCCGGCGAAAGGCGTATGATACGACGAACTGGACACCAACTCCAAACAATGGATGTTCTCATATATTAACACTGTATCACTGGTAGGGCTTCAGCTAACCGGTGTCTGCTTTTGTGAATTCCGCACTCCCCCTCCCCCCCCTGCCGTCTCTCCAGAAGCAAAAAATAATTTGCCTTGATCTGAGTGACCGGAAATCATTTCACCCACGAGCAAATCATGGTGTGAGTTCCTTGATACTTATTTGTTACACACAGTGGTGTGATGAAACGCAGTCATGAAGGCCTGTTGCTCAGTGGCGGAAACCGGTAACCTGAGATCCGCAACTCCGAGTGGTGAACTGCAAAACGGGCCACTAGATTAGGCGTGGTACTGAACCGGACGACAGTAAAACTGCTTATCAACAAAGTCTGTTGGTGGTGGCCGGATTCGAATCTAGGATCATAGGGCTATGATCACGCCGAGACAGTGGCTTAAACGCTGCCCCCCCCCCACAAAGATTGTTTTGTACCGCGATTTGTAGGTCACACGGTTACAGACATGAGACAAATATAATAATTAAACCCGAAAATAGTTCTGTATGTATTGGATAAGGAAGACGCTCAATGTTACCGCTGAAAAAGAATTCGAGAGAACGCTTGAAGAACAAGAAACTATGTAGTGGAGAATTTGATTTTAGAATAACAACGAAAACCTTTTTCAAGAGAGCACGGTTATGTTTTATGTGAACGAATTATTTTCGATAACAAAACTCAAATAGCGCCTGACAATGGACATCAAGACTATGGTGGCCCGATGGCGAATAATCAGATGGATAGTTCTCAGTGAGAAACGTTACTCGAATGTTCAACATTAAGGAAGCTGGATAGATCGAGGCTAGCCGAAGACATTCTTCCTACGGTAATTGACTTCTATGAGAAGACCTTAAACGCGAAGTGAATGTGTCACAAACTAGATAACACCGAATAACCGGCCTGTAGGGTTCGCATTCTTCAGACACTAAGTACAATGATAAAGATATTGATTGTCTGGAACAAATTCCACACTTTTGGTTGTACACCATCGAGTGATGACCGGCAGGAGTATTTCTCATACTTAACAAAGCTTTTGCTGTTCACTGATGACTATTGGCAATTTTAGCCCCAGGGATTGAAAAGATAAACGCGGCAATAAGTCGGAGGACAGCAAAGCTGTCTAACAAAGTTGGGTGACAATGGAGGGGTTTGACAACCAAACCCTAGGGCAAAAGCACGGCAGTGAAAGCCATTCACAAGTTTAACCCCCACCACTACTAACAATTGGGTTTTTCTGTACACACTTGTGTGCTGAGCAGTATAATGAGTGAACTCCTAGCCATGGGTAATTGACCTCTAGGACTCGAGATGACGAGCCACATACGGACTCAATAGGATTGTTATTGTTCACGAAAGTGTAATGGCCTTGGGGCTCGAACTACGGATCTGGGCGCTGAGTACGCCAGTAACAAGGGCATTAACCAATTGATCACTGCCTCCTTGAAAACCAAGAGAGTTTTAAGTGAAAAGAAAAGATGTTCACGATAGTAAATAAAAGACCTATTTCAGAGAGAGAATTAACTTACCATGGTTACAATCGCACATTCCGGGGACAGTTGCGCCATTTGGAATAGGGTACGAATAAACCGATAAACCACTTTTTGATCGGGATCTTGATTCCCGTAGTCCGCGGGAACTGGTTCATTCTGATGAGCCGAAAAAGATTACACAGGGCAAACGGGGGAAGAAAAAGATCGGCAAATGATTCGGGCAGAATGAAGTGTATACAACGAAAGTGTACTGGATTGCTTGCGGAACGATAAAGATGAATCAGAAAGCTAACTGTTAGTGCTAATCAGATAGTGTATTTACAGGGGATGAGCAGGGAACGCAAAGATTGAAACATTGGCCACACAATCGGAAACGATTATTACTGGAGTATTTTCAAACGGCACGTTCATCGGGTGCCACTTGAGCATATCACCACAAAGATCTTTTGGTGTATAGGAGGAAACGTTTGAGTCTCAGTGCTATCACCTCAGTTGCGGACAACAATTTAGCTTTGAAATCCTTGGACTGCGCCGCTGTGATTGAATAGAAGGGATAGAACGAGTCCCGTACATGAAAAGTGTGATTCGTTTTCGTCCAGAGCATATCAAATCGCGACTGCATCCACTCTTGTCGGTCCTCGTTTCCCTTATAGAATAAAAAGGTGCTGATAACTGTGAAAGAAGCAACGTGCATTTAATAAAGAGTAATTCGTCGAGCGAGCATGATGCACGGACGGGAAAGAAAGTGAAAAGATCTAATCAACAAAGAGAGCACGTTATTGATACTCGTTTCCTTTCGCTTTGCCAGCCACAATCACGCAACAGATATTCGGATGGTCTAGCCGTACAGTGCATTTCTGCACAGCTTTTCTCTGAGTTAACTACTGAACTGTTCACCATAAAATACTGATCAAAAACACACGATTACACTATAGATTAATGTCAGTATTACACAGCACACCTTTCAAACAGCAAACCTTATTCAGGTTGAAACGTTGTGACAACGAATTTCGCACTGAAATACGCCCCGAAAACCGTGACATCTTGTCTTGACGTTGTTAGTCTTGACTGTTCGGAGAACAAATTCGTGAATACCGATTGATGATAGAAAATCGTGAATGGGTAGATACTCTCTCTGCGCAGGATCACGGCGAAGAAGAACTGAAAACAATGCTGCACAGCAAAGGTCACATTAGCCCCGCAGGTCCGCGAATGCCACTCTCTTTTACTTTGCTACACCGTCGCTCTATTTGATCAGGTGGGCGAGAGAGTCAGTCAATCGAAGTCAAGGCCTGATCATCGAGCTTTGAAGTAAAAGCAGTAAAGACTCGAGCTTGCAGCAGCGACACTGACTGGAACTATTGTTCTGGTTAAACTGCCCAGGGTGCTACTCGCATGCTACGTACACTCCAAAAGACCAGTAACTCATCCG